TGCTGTGGGAATAAAACCTTCCGAAATGTGTTTGATGTGTTAATGGAAACATAAACCATACTTGTTATAGTTTATCAAAACGTTTAAATGTAATAGTTATAACTTTGTTTATTGTGGTTAACTACCGTATTTGTGAAGGTAAAAACCCTTTTGTTTACCGATATGTATATGTACTTTTTACTAAAGTGAAGCAACATGCATTATAACAACAAATTAATTACCACACTTTTGTAGGTAAAAATCCATTTGTTTTCTGATGTATGACTATATACTAAGTTGAAATTTCATTTATTTGTAAGAACATATTTTCACATAAAGATATACACCTTGCTCAACATGTTACAAGGTGAAATGAAATTTATAGCATTTTTCTGTTGTTAACATTTTCTTTGACTGTTCTTAGAAAATTTATAGAAAAATCATCGAAGGTCCAAATCAAAATCCATAAATTCTGAGAGTTTGGGAAATGAGTCTAGTTTGTTCCTAATTTTTATTATAAATTTTAATGACCTCTATCTTATGTGAAAAAGTCCATATTCACAGACTGGTCCGAATTTATGTTTGAAATGATAGGCAGTTTTGTAAAAATCACCATAAATTGTAGAAAAATCGTATGGAGACGTGCAAGTAGTCATTTTAAAGATAAGAACTTGAAGTATTTGCACCTAATACAATTTTGAAAACTAAAATGTTTAAGTTATCCAAAACAGTCCGTGAATGGAGTCCAAGTTTTCTGATGAAAGCTGTTAGCAAAGTTTAGTTATGTTCTTGGTGTTTTAACTTGTATTCCCCCCCCCCCCCCTTAAAACTTAAGAAAACATGAAAGTACAGGGGTATGAACTCACCTTATGTGATTTAATGTGGGTTAATGTTGAAGAAATTAAGTGTTCAACTCAAGAACACTTGAAGGATGACTTGAAGATTTGAGAATCTAACACAATAATGATGGACACTACTAGAAAAACAGCCTTTTACGACGCTCATTGCACGTCGTAAAAGGCTCAGACGACGCGCAAATGCATGTCAAGGAAGGCCCTGTCATAAAGAGAGACGACGCACATTTACGACACTCATTTATGACGCGCAATTACGACGCATGTTTACGACACGCAATGCGTATCAAGGAAGGCCCTGTCATAAAGGAAGACGACACGCATTCGCGTGTGGTAACCTTACGACGCGCGTCTTAATGACACGCAATGCGTATCAAGAAAGCCCCTGCAAGAAAGGCCATGTAATAAATGAAGATGACACACATTTTTGCGTATCATAATTTTAAATGTTTTAAAAAATATTATTTATAGATTTACATTTTCAAATTAAATAATACATTAAAAATCTCATAATACAAAATAAATTACCATAAATGACAAAGATAATTCATTTCACTAATATGTCAAATACAAATAATTATTCCAATAGTGAGCAAATGTTATAAAAAAATGAACTCATTTATATACAATTGCATCATCTAGCTTACTATGTGCCAACAACTCTGTGTGTGTTTACTTTTGCTTGAGTCTTGTTTCCTCCAAAGCTTCTAGCCATGCCAAAATATGATATCTCTAGTCTCGTGTCAAGAACCAACATCACCTTCAATCACCCAACCCAGTCTTTAGGACTGAGATCTTCCCATTTCTTATCCACCTTCCAAGGAGGTCGGTTGGAATGATGATACATTGCAAGCCTTTCAAGTTGCAATGACTGAAGAAAACATGTGAGATATTAAAAAGACATAAACTTTAAATTTTTGGTAAGTGATGATAAAGCAGATGCCATCTATCATAAAAAGGACATAAATAACTGAACTTTGTTAAGAATTCCTTTCCTTTTCCTAAGACCTAAAAGGTGTCAATGACTAAATATTTAAATGGAAAAGCAGGATACAAAAGATGGCAAATGGGACTGACCTTTCACAATTTATCTAGTGCACTACTGGTGTCAAATGTTTTCATCCACTGTAAAAGCAAAAAGCTTTGCCACAGTAAGACCAACAACAAAAGGATGTCCTGGATTGCTAAAAAAACATTGTTCAAACAAGACTTAAGCACATACATTTCCAAACTTTGATTTTGATATTGCATCAAGTGTTGCTGTCTCGGATTCCTGCGAGACAGTTGAATATTCAACAAGCAGCCCAGACTTAATAAAGTTAACCAACAGTTAAATCAAACTGAATGTAACTAGAGACATCTTAAATTTTAAGGATACTATGGAAGAAAAAGCAATATATTACCTGAATCTGTTGCATGTTCTTGATTTTTTGAAGATGAGTTAAAGGAAAAAACTAGATAACCGAATGACAACCTGCATAAAACATAATAATCAAAATCCGAATTTAACATTAAAAATACATGATAAACCTAAATGAATTACAAAAAGGGCTAAATTCACATCTTACCTCTAGTGAAATAAATCTCAAATTATCAAATCTTGGCATATGTCATCAGATGCCTCGTGTTTCCTCTATTTCCACTCTTCCTTCAGATAACTGCATTGTCATATCCATAGATAAAGTTTAACTGTTTGAGTTTACACCCCAATTTCAAATTATGCAAGTGAAAAAAAATGAAAAAATAGCAGAAAAGTAAAAGCACAAAGCTATAATAGGGAGAAAGAGGTAAGAAACTATAACAAACAAATAAATACGAGTGTTGCTATTTTTTAGAGTTAACCCTATATAAACTACAAAATGTTGTTTCTTATAATTATAGCATATCCTACTATTTGCTAGATTGAAACCTGGAATCAAGGACCTTGAACAACATAAATAAATATTCTTATTATATAAAGATAAATAATGGGGGATAGCCTTGATTAGATGCTGAAAAACACTAGGTTTGTTCTCTCAAGAAGTTGTAGAATCTTAAAGTAAAAAAAGAATCAAACAGGTAGCTATGATTTATCCACCTTTCATATTACCAAAACATTACTTGGTTGCTCTCCGTCTCCTTTTCGACCTTCCATGCCCAATATATTATGCTATAAAAACACCACAAATTCATGTGAGATTCTATTCAGTTTCATGCTTGGTTGAAAATGAACACAATTCGCTTCATATTCTTGAAAGCTACTCAACAATTCCATTCTTTTTTATTAAAAGACCAAAGTACCCCATTATTGGAAGAAAAAAAACAAAGTAGAATACCAAAATACTCCTATAATTGCAATAAACAAAAATGTGAAAACAGAAAGATGATACCATGTCCTTAATTCTGTGGAAATGCAAAAAGGGCATAAATAGAACTAGGTTATAACCTGTTGCCTTTTGGAACCATAATATGAAGAATCAGGGTAATTTTTAACACTATATGGTGGCAACCATGTTGAATCATGTGGACCCATACTTCTGAAATGCTGTCCTTCCTTTGCATCACAGAAATCAGGACCCTGGTCCTGTTATATCATATATGGAGGCCACAGTCGAAACAAGATAAAATATGCAATACATGTTGAGCATACCTACACCCACAAAATCTCCTTTCCTGTTTTCCTTTTTTTTAATATTGTTTAAAGGGTAGGGGTTGTTACTTATATGTTGAAATGTAACAATCCCCATTAAGTCCTGTATGGGTGAAGTGATTTGAAATCAACAAACTATGTAGAAGTAACATGTTGAGCAACACTTAGCATGGTATACGTTCTGGTGACAAGAAAAGAGAAGATGAAAACAGTTGTGTACTAATTAAAGTGATTATTATTCACCTAAGAAGGGTTTGTATTTAATAAACAAATTATTTATATATAAAATTAACTTACATGGAAAAAGGTTTGGCCACCAAACCAACATGGCATAAAATAGATGTTAATATAGATAAATCAAACACATGTACTTCAGAATATAACAATACAACTACAAGATTAACTGGGACTTATATAGTTCAGAAAATGGGGATTGCTTCAATTGACAACAAAAGGATAAAGGTGAACTATTCTTACAAATTGGATGTTGCTTTATCACGTTATCACATTTGCATAGAAAATATAATTTGAGAAGAATAAAAACCCCAGCAGTTTTAAATGTTAACTTGAAGAAATTTGTAATTATAAGCTAGGCAGTTAAGTGACCTTCTAGCTAAGCAGGGTGCGTGTTGACACATTACACAGTTTATTTGAATAACTTAATATATATAAAAAGGTAATTACTTTTAAATTATACTTTTTAAAATGACGAATTTTCCTGTTCCATCAGTACAATTACACAAAAGGGTTCGAGTAATTACTTCCAAGTTGAGAGTTGAGACAAGCGAAATGACGAGCACAACTCAATTAGGAGGTAAAGTTGACTAGCAATTTGCAATTTCATCCATAATTTCACATCCCAGTCAACTTAGAAAGAAGGTTGTATATTGATTTCACTTTTTAAGTTTCTATAAGATTAGAAAAATAACCATAGGGACCTAGTTTGTGTTCAAGTTTAACAGATCATACTCATCACTCATACATATAGAGAAAAAAAAGGAATTAGGGTTACCTGGAATGTCCATTGAGTCCATTCCGTTGAACTAGACAAAACAAAAAGTTTTATTTTGATTCCAGCATATATAGAGGTACTTACCCGGTCCCGATCCTTGATCACTTGGTTATATGAAAACCATGTAACAGGAAAATGGTGTTTTTTTATGTGGTCAAAAAGTATAATGGTTTAATCAGTACTAAACAGAGTGAAGTGTTAAATCAATAAAATGTTGAAAGTACAAGTGTTTTTTTCTGTATTATTCCTAAAGAGAAAATACAATCTAAACACAAATAATATGTAATTTTTTAACTAAAAAACATACAAAATGATGTGGTACCTGAAAGAATAACTGATCTACAAGGTGTAAACGAAAAACAATATAGTCTTTCATCCGTGAAAAAACGTGTAAATGAATTAGAGAAGGAGCTTAAAACCAATTAGAATCAAGGGCAAAATTCTCAAGCTCAGTCTGCAAAGAAAATTATGTTCACAAAGAAGTGATACCAATAAAAAAAAGGAACTCTTTTATATAATCTAAAATCTACCTTAATTTGGTACATTCCAAGGAGATTTGCAAGAGGAATAGGTACACTACCGATTCCCTAAGCTGGACCAATGACCTTGAGAGAGACATCCTGTAGTAGCTATACGAAGGAATAGGTGAAGATTTAACCTTCACAACGGATAAATTAATCCCCTGAACCATATCTAAGCTAATCGGAAGAAGAAAAAACCGTTTATCCTCTGCAAGACGTGATGAAAAAACGAAACCATGCAACAGAACTTGCAAGACTCCCACATGTGAGATGAGGGAACTACAAACAAAACCATGCACTAAGAGCTCCGGCATAAGAAATGCCAAACAAAAACCATGGATTTTCAAAAAAAAAAAAACTGATAATTCAAAAAAAAAAAAAAAAGAATGTTACTGGTTAGAAAAGGAAGCTTTCTCCAATCTGGATTTAAACAAAGTGGCATTAGAAATATTGACACATGGAGATTAATTATAAATTCATAAATTCAAAAAAAGAATGTTACTGGCTAGAAAAGGAAGCTTTCTCCAATCTGTGACATCATTAGATGACTCCTCAACAGACTGCTCTTTCTGTATTAGATCCAATTCAATTTCAGCCTCTTCAATTTCCTGCCACACATCAATCAATACCTCTTATTATTTTTTTTATTTTCTAAAACAAAATATTGTAATTTTAGAACTTACCATAAGTTTTTCATAGGTGTTTTTCGAAAATAAATCAAAGTATGATTGTGTTCCATGTTCTCTCCAACTTCCAGAATGGCAGCCATAACCAAGGAATTGCTAACAATTCTATTTCACAGGGAAAAATACATGAAATGTGGGATGGGATGCTAGGTTGATTCATACCCCTGATACAGTTAATTCTATCCTTCATTGTCCCACCTTGCACCTATAAAGAAGCATAAATAATAGTTTAGTAGTAAATTTGTACACATTTATAAAAGTTTAGTGTTGAGAATTGTTAAGAATCGTTATTATTTAGGAAAAGAAAAGAAACAGGATAAGTTTTTTTTAAATACTATTATTATTTATCCATTCCACAGAACACTTAATCTGTATGCTGTCATACTTAAGAAAGTGAACGACCATTTTACCCTTGTATTTTCAAAACTACTAAATCTAATAGAAACATGGGTAGAACAGGAAAATGCAACATCTTAATTCATAGAGTGAGTGACACCCATTACGACATTGCTAAAGAAAACAATAGTGCTACTATTAGCTACATGATGCTAAATGTATTCAAGTCAAAAAGAAACGGGCATTTATAAAAGAATAGTGCTACTATTATCTACATTATCAAAATTCAATTGTAAACTCTAAATTAAAAAAAATGTTCAAATCAGATAGAGCATGATTTACATGAAGAAGAAAGATAGAGAATGCGGAAACCATACCATGAGCTCCTGACCACCAATACTTAATTTACTCAGAAGCCTTAAAGCACGCAGAACTCCTTCAACATTCCTAAATTCACAAAAACCAAAGCCCTTCAAAGCCCCAGTAGTGGGATCTGGTACATGTTTCCAACTTTTAACATGCCCACAGAGCTTTAGAAGACATAAATGTGTAATAAGTCCATGAACATTGGGCAATAAGATCTATTTCCAGTAAAGATGTGAGAAAAAGAGGAACTTACCTACAAAAAGGGAGAGCATGAACTCATTGTCCACTGATGATGCTATCTTGCCAACATAAACTGTGGTTATTGGCTTTTCAGCTGGAGTTATTGTATTGATGGGTCGTCTAATGATTGTAGGGACCACTGGACCCCGCATAGCCAACATTGGTGGGCATGCATGACTCCCACTGCTCCAAGTGGCCTTTGAGGATATGCTGGTTGCAACATTTGTGGATATGGAGAGGCATAATAGAGAATCCCTTAAAAAATAAGACAAAAATACTATTACAAAAAAGAGAGATCAAATAGTGAAAGTATCACAACAAAATTCAAACATATCGCACATATTTTCATCATTGACATATATAACTATATACTAAAAACTCAGATCTGATGTGAAGTTAAAAAAAAAAAGGAAATTTTAACTGAATTGAAAATTAAAACCTGAAGTTCTGTAATGAAGCTAATGCTCTGTTCCATGGAAGGCTCGTGGAAGGTCAATGAATGATTTGATTGTTCCACTTCCATAACTCTCTGTCTCTAGTTGAATCACGAGTTTAAAACAACAAATTTTGGGGAAATTCAAGAAGTGATCATTTGATATCAACAAAAGAACCCTAGCTTTAGTTTACTCTCTACTTTACTAGATACATGTAAAGAAAGATTGGGTGTGCAATGGATTCCAAGATTTAAATAACTTACTGATTATAATAATATATATTTTGGTTCAAACATTTAGTCAAACACCTGGTGTGCATAAAAAAAATCAGGTACTTATATCATAACATATCAATAATTCCATGAAAAGATTTGAGAAAGGGTAGAAGGGCACAAAAATCGTCGAAAAAGAAAGACCAGTTGTACATGAAATAGGTAACTGTGGTTGAAAAAAGAAGAATTACCTTCGTAATATGCCTACTACGCAAATGAAATACACTCTTTTAAATTTTGAAGTCTCCAGAATCGACATGAGGTCAAGATGACCTGAAGCAACCAGGAAACTATCATACTACATGATGGAGGCGTGCAGAAGTAAGCAGGATGACAACATCGGGAGAAACGACACTGCCAACAAGGAGAACCCATAGAAGGGAAGAGACGAGAAAAAGGCACCGTATCGTTCTTCTTCTTGTTTCTGTTGTATAAGTAAAATCAAGATTGATAGAAGATTATAAAAAATTGGGATGAGAGAAGAAAGAAAACATACCTTAATCCGTACGAGGTGGGTTGAATCCGAACTCCTCAGACTTTGTACAGAGAACTCATGTAGTAATGCCCTAAATCACCGGTTCTCTAAGAGTAAGAAAATTAGTGTGATTCTGATGGGAAGCTTAGATTTCTGACGATTCTTTCAAGTTTCAATCAAAAAATGAGAAAGAGAGTTAGGGAAATTAAGAATGGAATGCTCACGATCATTGGGAAGATGAAAGATAGAAAGAAGGTAGAAAAGAAGAAGGCGGGTCTTCAAAATTTTGGAGATTTCATTTCCCCCCGTATATAGGAGAAGCGCGTTTCATTAAAATTATAAAGCGACAATCATAGAGGACGCGCGATTAAAATAAAGCGCCCTCAGTGTTTTTTTAATTTTTTCTTGGGACACTAATTTAAGGGCACGCAATACTGCATGACTTAAATCCTTAAAATTTTTGAAGAGATGACACTCTTTTAAGGTCACTCTTATTTGCGTAACATAAATCATTGCGTGTCATGGTTTGCGCGTCGTAAAAGGGTCTTTTTCTTGTAGTGGGAGTTTGTGTAAGGAATCAATGATTTGTGTAAAAGGAAATGTAATTACCATAAGGAGGGTGATGATACTTACCGAATGAAGATGGAAAGCTTGAAAAATGACTTGGAAATCTCGAAATTCTCAGAGAGAATTTGAGAGAAAAGATGTGTTTGATCTTTGGTGGAAATGAAAGAAATGAGTAAGAATGAGGAGAGAGGGTGAGTTTTCAGCCTTTGATAGGTCAAAATGGTGGGGAAATTACCCTTGAATGACCAGGTATGGTGGGGGACAATAGCTGGTCACGGAGTGGGTATGGAAGTTGTTGTTTGTGTCATAAATCAAAGATAGGTCAACACTTCACCACAAGATCTCATTTAATAGATTTTATTCTAAAATAAGGATTTCCTTAAAAATATGTTTAAATTATGAATATTTAGGGTCTTATATGTTAAAATATGATTTTTGGAGAAAATCCTTCGTTAAAATAATTAAAAACGGACTTAAAATGGAGAAGTAGCTAAAAACCGGGTGAAAAACATAAAATCCGAAGTCTAGGGCTGGAGTCTCGGTCATCAGCAGCTAAAACCGGAGTGGCTTAGTAGCCTGCTACGATGCGGGGGTCCGAGGAGAAGTAGTTGCGAATGCGGGGGTCGAAGAAGGAAGGCGTTGCGGTCGGGCTGTGGCTCACCTGCTACGACTCGCCTGCTGTGGCTCACTGCTGCAGCTTGCCTGTTGCGGCTCACCTGCTGTGGCTCGCTACTGCGGCTCGCCTGCTGTGGCTGCACCCCATTGCGGCCCGAAGACTGCGACTGCTCAAGGGGCCTCAGATACAAGAGGACTTGGCCCCTATGGGGAGGCTTCGGTCCTAAAGGGTTATTTTCCAAGATTTTTCCCTTCTTTGAGTGGTTTCTCATCAAGCCAAGTATCGGGATTCCTTAATTGATTATAAAAATTTCAAGAGAAGTTTCGAGAGAGATTTGGGAGAGATTTCACAATCTTGGAGAGATTCCTGAAATAGAGAGAGATTTGGGAGAGATTCGACATACTTGGAGAGATTTCTCATACAAAGAGAGATTTGGGAGAGATTTCACATACAAAGAGAGATTTGGGAGAGATTTCACATTTTTGGAGAGATTTCTCATACAAAGAGAGATTTGGGAGAGATTCTAGATGAAGAGAGATAGAGTGAAAACGATTGAGAGAGGTTTTGTGTGTGACATTTGTGAGTGTCCGGCTTTGCAATTCAAGGTCTGTAAACCCCGTTAAGCCATGTTTAAGGACCTTACACACTCCCGATGAGTATGCAACATTGTTTTATCGGTTTGGTTCGTTACTTACCACAGTTTTAGGTTAAAGAAATCTAGATGTACGATCTTTTCAATTTATGACTTGTCATTAGAATAGCGAGTTGTATAGTATTTACCTAACATGAGCCCTAGTACACAAGGGTTAGTTGGGTTGACTGGTCTGACTTGTTGACTTTATTTGACTTTGACTTGACTAGAATTTGACGGTTGTCACAGATATAAGAGTGGTTTGTAGATTTGGCTATACTTGTTGTTTGTTTGATACTTGTATGTATGTTTAGTAGCTGAGTGTAGGTGAGACCCGTATCTTATAGTTAGCCGAGTGTGGGCATGACCCGTATCTCATTGTTAGCCGAGTGTAGGCATGACTCGTATCTCATTGTTAGTTAAGTGTGGGCGGGACCCATATCTCATTGTTAGCCGAGTGTGGGCTGGGCCCGTATCTCATAGTTAGTCGAGTGTGGGTGGGGCCCGTATCTCATTAATAGCCGATTGTGGGTGGGGCCCGTATCTTATAGTTAGCTGAGTGTGGACGGGGCTCGTATCTCCTAGTTAGCCAAGTGTGGGTGGGGCTCGTATCTCTTTGAGAGTGTGGGCGGGGCCCGTATCTCCTAGTAGCATGATTATGTGTATGGGATGTGGTAGTTTGGGGAGACTCACTAAGCTTTGTGCTTATAGTTTTTAGTTTTGGTTTCCGGTACTTCCGGTAGCAAAGGGAAGAGCTCGGGATGACTGCAGTGCACACACTATTATGTTAGTCTTGGATGTTTTACTCTGATATTTTGACATGTGTTTTGATATGATACTCCGATGTGATACGATGACTTATGTTTTTGGATGAAATGATTTTGATAATTATGGTTTACTTAATAATTACAAACTAAAATTTTGTTCGGGATTTTTAGGATGTTACATACATTTTGATATTTAATGTTTTCTTTAAAAAAATAATTAATGTTTATATATTTATATATAATGTTTTTTATCTACCCGTGTAATATATGGGTCTCACACCTTGGCTACTCTAATAAATGAAGATTTTTTTACCACATGTTACACTTTCATTCAACTTGTCAAATGTCATTTTATGGTTATTTTTAATTAACTTTTAATGTCATTTTATAGGTTTTTCTATTTTATTAAATTCCATATAATCCATAATAATAAATGAATTTATCTTTTTTACCACATGTCATATTCTCATGTATTTTAATGCATTAATTTTGTGGTTAATTCTTAGAAATTAATTTTCATTTGTCATTTTATGATAGTTTTTAGGTTATAGAAAGTAATTAATGTGTCATTAGTTTGTTTCCTTATATTTTCAAATTTTAATATGTTTCCTTCAATTACGTTTCTTTCAAAGTTCATTGTAATTTTAGACAAAATGATCTTTATAGGAAAAATAATCAAACTTTGTTGTTTTTTATTGACAAACTAAAAAAAGGTTATATAACTAAAATATAATTATTTTTAGAAAAAACATCATAAATGGTCACTGTGTTTACTCCCCGTGGTTTAAAATTTTCATAAATGGTCCCCGTGCTTTCAAAACTTTTGATAGATGATCCTTATTGCTAACTCCGTTAAGTTTTATCCGTTAACTGAAGGGCATTTTAGTCATTTCACACCACAGGGACCATATTTGATCTTTTCGGTTATTTTTTTACAAAAGAAAAAACTAAATATAATTATTTAATATATAATCTCTCTCTCTCTCTCTCTCTCTCTATATATATATATATATATATATATATATATATATCCAAGCCACCTCCTCTCTCTCTTTCTTAGCTCATGTCCGACAAGAAAAAAATCGTCCGAACTGCCACTGGTGAAGAATCACTCTCAACCACGGTAAACCACCAAGAAACACCACTGCCATCACCCATTTTCCCACCTTATACCTTCGACAATTAGCAGCCTAAGCCCCATTTCCATGTTGCAACCCACTACTGCTCTTCTTCCCTTCGCTTATCGCTGCCAACAACTAGAACAAGACCCACAAAGGTCGTCAGAAAAGAGAGACTGCTCCTCTCGTTTTGCGACAACCCAGCCATCCACCACACCTTCTGCAACTTCTTTTTCCTTATTTGACCTACAACTTAAACTACACATACATAAATACAATTAAACTTGAAAACCACCAAATTTACAACAAAATTTGAGTCCAAACACCTTCTGCAACTTCTTTTTCCTTATTTGACCTCCCATAGAGAGTCCAAACTCATATGTGGAGTCATCGGAGCACCAGAATCACAAGACCCCCAACATATAAAGACAACTGAATGAACAGTGAGAGATAAACATCCACATACAAATCAATTTATGGTAGGATGAACACCCACACACTAACTCAAATTGATTTACAGAAACAAAAACAAACATGATTTTAGTTTTTTATTCGAATTTAGGATTCTGATTCTTAAGTTACCATTGAGAATAAAGATCACAAATGATTTCCATTGAGTTTATATTGAGGAAGAAGAACCAGAATGTGCTGGTTCTGATCGGAAAACCGAGATGGGAGGAAGTGGAGTTATAAGTACCAGAATCTGAAGATGTGTTCATCCAAGAATCAAATGAGTGCTTGTTTATAATGAAATCGTAGGCAGATCCTAACCGGATGAATTCGAATAGCCCTAGAAATCATAAGTGGTTCCTGATGAAATTGATGGAGGAGATCGGTTAACCTTCTTCTCCACCACGACACCATAAAATACCCTAAATGGGAGCGTCAAATTAAATGTCCAAAAAATCCAACTGTAAGCATCACTATGTATCGTAACTTGGTTTCTAGTTTCGATTTGGGTGAACCATGGAGCCATTAGCAGCTGGCCGCAGCGTTTGCAGATGGGTGTTGGAGCTTGGCACCAACGCGTCCATAGCAATGGTTACTAACGCGCTGGCGGATCCGGTGGCAAGGTTCGAGGTCTGGTTTTCTAGCCATGGAACCAGGTCGTCGGCGTAGAACTCCATTTGGGATTTGCCGTAGGGGAGGAATGTGGCTTGGTTGACTATTTCCTTAAGAGAGGGAAACAAAGTAGGGGGAAGCAGGCGTCAAAGAGAGAGAGTGAGAGAGAGAGAGAGACCCCTTTGTAAATAAGAGAAAAACTTCATAAATCGTCCCTATGGTGTGAAATGACTAAAATGCCCTTCAGTTAACGGATAAAACTTAACGGAGTTAGCAATAAGGACCATCTGTCAAAAGTTTTGAAAGCACATGGACCATTTATGAGATTTTTAAACCACAGGGACTAAACTTCAGAATCTAGGAAAACACAGGGACCATTTATGATGTTTTTTCTTATTTTTATATAGTTTATTTTATTAGTGTAAATTGAATTATTTGTTTATTTATCATTATATATATATATATATATATATATATATATATATATATATATATATACTGAAATGTTATTTAAAAAAATACTTAATGTTTACATTTTGATATTTACTATTTTCTTTAAATAAAATACTTAGTGTTTATATATTTATATATAATTTTTTTAATCAATCTATGTATAATCTACTCTAATAAATGAAGATTTTTTTGTCACATGTTACACTCTCGTTTAATTTTTTCAAATGTCATTTTATGATTATTTTGAATTAATTTTGTTTCCACGTGTCATTTTATGAGTTTTTCTATTTTATTAAATTTCACATAATAATTTAATATAATAATTACAATAAATATAATAATAAATTAATATCAATTTTATTAATAAACTTACTTTATGATTTCAAAACTCTCAAATTAAAATTTATTAGTTCTTTCGTTTATTTATTTAAATTATTTGTTACATTTAAAAGATAAAAAATATTTCAATTTTAGTAATTTAATAATTATTTATATTTTCTTATAAATCAAAAGTTTTCATATATATATATATAGAAATTAACTTATCTAATATATTGATCTTACAGTGGTATAAATTAAAACAAATAAATAATAAATTATCAAGTAATAACAAACTTTAACATGTTAATATTGATTTGATATCCTCGTTTGAAACAAAACACCACCAACACGAAGTCAACATCGCTATGCTTAGGTACATTTAGATCTTATCGAGTTTTTCTTTTATTGCATAATTAAGCATATTGATATACAATACAACTAGGATTTAAAGCATCCACGTCACTACCTATATATGATTTCTTCTTGCAATAATAAATATATGTTCGGTATGTTGGAATGTTAGATTTTGTACAAGATTTACTCACTATATTTTATGTATTTTAGATTTTTAAATTCATTGGGGACATGATATGTGCATATGAGTATGGGAAGATTCACCAAATTTCGAACATTCTCTTTTTTCAGATCTATGGACAGTATATTCTTCATTAATTTAATCTGACTTTTTTAAGACAGAATAAAATAATTTGAAGTTTGGAACCTACTTTTTTTTTTTTTCTTAGATAGTAATTTTAAAAGCTATATTCAATACTTATAGCTTAAGTTTAAAATCATAAAAGAAAGTCGATCATAACCTCCAGTTCTTGTCTCTGTGCCCGTTCTTTCTTCCTTGCTTCTTCTTTTTCTTTGTCAAACGTCAAACGTTCGGAGAAATTATGATTATATCGATCAAATGACGTTATTATTTCCGCATTTCGTCAACATCAATGTTGAAATCTGATGCACCCGAAGAAGTCCCTTTTCCCTTCCTCTTTGCTTTGTCCCCATCCATTGGGCGGACAATTTCTTCTAGCTCAAGTTTGTTGTCCTGATTCAAATCTAGATCGATCCGAGCATCGGAGGAGGTTGTGTAACCACTAGATCCCGTTTTCGTTCGCTTTGATTGTTGGACCCCCAAAATAAAATCTTGTTCGTATTTTTTCCACCTAGGACTTCGGACCAATATTTTCCAACAATCATGTCACTTGAATGGTTTTCCGACTTCCTCAAGGTAAAACTGCAAAACTTCTTGAAGTATTTGTTCGTCGTCTTGGCCGCTTTTTCATTGGATTTCTTGGTTTTTGTACAACCCGTTTATTTTTGAAACCCCATTTGCTATTTCTTGAAATTTCGAATTCAATTGATGTTTCGTATGGTAGTCGTCACCTTTTTCTAGCTCCCATCGAAACCGTTCTAAAATACGAAACCAAAAATGGTTTCTCGATTGTGCGTTTCCATGAATCGAATTTTCAAAAATGTCAGCCCAAGCTTTTACCAAAACTAACTCTTCGTGTGGAAGCCATGTTGTGGGCTTTTGTCTTCTCGGTTGTGCGACACCCTTGCGCGCTTGTTGTTTTCCTTTGCATCGTTGTGGAGGTGATGTGGGTTGAGTTTCGGGAACTATCTATTCTTCTTCCGAGTCATCCAACTCATCGACAAGTTGGAATTTTTGTTAGGTTTGGGTTTGAGTTTCGTTTTGGGTTTGGGGTTGGGTTTGGTTTTGAGGTTGTTTTGACGATTGTTGATCCGGAAAAACAACAAAGTTTGAAAACATTTGCAGCGTAACATTTGGAACTTGGATCGGGTAATATTGTCTAACATTTCGGTATTGAAATTGTAGTAGAGATTGAATGGGAGCATTGAGTTGAGGGCGATAAACTCCTTGTGATGATGAATCGATAACAAAAATGTTTCAAGTAGGGATGTTTAAACTCAAATCATGACTTTTTTTTTTTTCCTTCGATCAGAAGTTGGGGTTTAATTGTCGGGACTCTTTTTTTTTGAGAAGAAAATAGAGGGAATAAAGGCTTTGTTTGAATGTTGATTGAATGTAAATAGTTGGGTATTTATAGGTGTTAATTTTTTTTTAATGCATATATATTCGTTAGTAAAAAAATGACCTTTTTACCGTTAATCAACGGCTAATTCAAAAAAAAAAAAAATCGGCCAATGATCGACGGAGAGAGAACGCGGCAAATCCTCCCCTCTCCGGTTCCTGCACCGACGATCCGGTGTCCCATCGTGCGGGAAGCCTCCCGCTCCCTCTTCCCGCGATGATTCCGTCCAGTCTTATGATTTAAATTATTGTTTTATTATTTTAACTATCGTTTTAAAGGGTTTTTAACATTGTAGCACAACAAAGTTTGACGAATTTATACATTTAGTCGCTCAAATTTTTCTGTTGCACAATTAGGCATTAAACTTAAAAATTTCGTTTCAGTTACACCATTTTTAGCTAGGCAACTTGATGAACTTGTATATTTTCTATATTTGCTGACTTCGAAATTAAAAATAACAAAAGAATTTCTCACTAATCCATGTATGAAATACTCCGTTTAGCACATATCCTAAACAAAAAATAAGAACAAAAATAAGCTCCCACCACCACCACCATCCACCGTCTCCATCCACAACAAAATTTGGAGACAATGTACATTTTCGGCATCAATGGAGATTTTCAAGAAGACCAACTTTTACAATATCGAACACAGGATATGAAAATATTGATTCCAAACTTGAAAATTTCAATTCCAGAAACCATTCATATTCGAAAACCCTAGAAATTCGTTCGCATTAGGTAAAACATAAAATCATAGATTTACAGTCATAGATTCTAAATCTGCAAGCGCAGATCGTTGATATCTCACACCAGAATCTTCAAATCTTGGATGTTAGTCAGAACTCATTCACAATGTTTCTTCCTACCTGGGTATTTCAATTAGGGCCACAAGACATTCTATTTTGAGGGAATATGTTGATTGGAAGCATCTATGGTGCTCTTACATCCTCTGTTGATATCTCTTCAAGTTGTTGAAACCCTAAATGCATTATCTGGGGAAATCCCATCTGAAATTGTTGAACATATCCAAGAATGAACTGATTGGGGAAATCCTAGAAACTATCTTAAAGCATTTCTCATGAAATAGCAGAAGCACCATCGTCATCGCCTTCATCCCGCATTGCCTTGACCAACATCGATATTTCCATTCCTTGCTCTGTTATGAACAACCCTTCATTCCAACACCACAGATGATATTTATCATCACCATCTTTACCCTCCATAATCTCATCAACCATACAAAACTATAATTAAAAAAGAGCACAACAAGAGGGAGAAGAGGGAAAATCCATACCCATCTGCAGCTTCCAAGGAAAACAGCCCCTGTTCACCACAAATCAAACCACCAAGTACCACCTGTTCATATGTTGCTTTGATTGAAATTAAAAAAATGAAGGATGAGTAAGACTCAAAGATTTATTGGAGGGAGTAAATGAAAGAGAAGGGGTGTGATTTTGTGTCATGCAATCGATTGAAGAGAAGAAGAGAGATATGTCATGCGATCGATTGAAGAGAAGATAAAGGGGGATGCTAGCTTCGTTTCACTGGAGGAAGTCTTAGTTACTTTGTCAAGCTCGAGCTCGAGCTCGAGTTGAGTTTTTTAGTCAAGTCGAGTTTTGAGTTTGACAGTATTCGACTCGGTTTGGCTCGATTATATTTCAATTAGTGTTTTGCCATTTCAGTTATCGTTTTATTAAAAGTTTTAATATTTAAAAAAGTGTATGGTTTGAGAGGGTTCAGAAAGATTGATTCTATGTGTTGAAGGTTGGGAAAGATGGAAGTGAGAGAAGAGATAAATGTTGATGTGGTACAAAGGTGGAAATAGGGTTGAGAAAGATCAACTCCTCCCACCCTAATAATCGATATTGGTATGAAAGTTAATATACGAGGAGAGGAAACATCACCAAACTTCACAGCAGAACGGACTACATATAGAAGAAGTTAAAAAAAACCCAAAAATAAGATGAAAATCCATGGATTGGCAGAAAATGGATAATCATCTATTGATTAAAAGAGTGGCACCAACTTTCTTCGTCTCGAACATCCTAAGTTGCGTTAGAGAACAAGACCTTTGGAGATATATTCGAAGATTGTGAGGGAACGAAGGCCCCGACCAATCATCGTACCGTACTAGCTTCGTTACAGACTTGATACTGAACTGTTATCGTGAATTTATATCAAGAAAAAAAAATGACAAATTTGGTTCACGTATTGCCTTTGTAAGATACATTA